AATAGTTTATATCTTAGGTCATGAAAAAAAAGCAATAACTGAAAAGAGTCTATAATGTGTGTGTGATATGTGGTGTGTGTGTGTGTGTAGGCATGTGTGTATGTTTTTTTTTTTTTTTAAGATTTATTTATTTATTCACACAGAGCTGGGTTACAAACCAGAGATGCGGAGGTTGAGAGGATTCACCAAGGACAGAGAGCGGAGCAGAACAGGCAAATCACGAAGTACACTGCTAAGGGGAGCAGCGGGCGGGTCAGGAGAGGTCTGCCTTGCCGTGTGGATCTCCTCCGGGGCAGGTAGGGATTGAACTCATGTGGAAGTGGCTTAAGCTTCTTAGTGCAGTGCGCCACTAAGGGAGAGCCACATGTGTGTATGTTTATGAGAGGAAGGTGAAGAAAAGAAACAAAAATAACTGAGACCATAAAAAGTAAACATATATATATATATATATATATATACACACACACACACACACACACATAATTAAAGAAAGATTCCAACTGCTTAAAAATAATAAAAATTAAAAAATTAACATCCAAAAAGCATTTGCTGCAAACTTTTTTATATTTCAAAGTGGGTATAAATAATTGGACCCTATTTCAGTTTTTTTCTTTTTTTTTAAGATTTATTTATTTGTGCATACAGAACTGGGGTATAGGCCAGAGGCTCAAGGGCAGCGAGAGGCTTCACCAGAGACAGAGTGGGGAGCAGAACAGTCAGATCGACATACACTGCTGAGGGGAGCAGCGGGCGGGTCAGGAGAGGCTGCCACACCATATGGTCACCTCTGGGGCAGGAGGGGATCGAACTCATGCGGAGGTGGCTTTAGCTTCTTAGTGAGTGTTTTAACCCGCTGCGCCACTAGGGAGGGCCCCTATTTTAGTTTTTAAGAAAGTGTGGGTTAAGTTGTGATAAAAGTAAGCTCGTTCTCCACAGACTATTTAAATACATGACAGGAATGAATGGCACAGATAAGTGATCTGAATCACAGTAGTAAGCTTGTAAAACTGCTTTGGAGTCAGGAGGAATGAAATTCAAAACTTTTATCATGAACATCTTTTAACCACAATCTCTGAGAAAATGAAATAATCTTTCTGGCGTCAGGTTCCAAAGTTATGTAATCTGAATATTGGTAGTATCTAAAAGGTGTATTATGAGATAATAGTAATAGTAATAATAGTACTACTACTACTAATAATAATAATACATATTAGATGTCTGATAATTACTAATTATGCACATGAATTATTCATGAAAGAGGAAGTTTTGAATATATAGTATGCTTTGAACATACAGTACATACAGTATTTTCAAATATGCAGAGAAAATATACAGGATGTTTTCAGACTGAATGGTCCTACATGATAATTAGCAGAGTCATGAAGGAGATGTTATAGTGCAGTGAGACATGTGAAAGTGCTTTATGCATTCTTGACTGGTATGCACAATCATTGCTAAAAGTAATGATAATGATGGCAATGTGTCTATACTAGAAATCCACAGTGGAGAATAATTAGATATCAGGATGGAAAGAAGTTCTAAATTGGTCAACTGAAGAATTTGAGGTTTTGCCCATAAATAAATAATTCATCAATGGAAACTTTTATGTGTCATTTTATTATGATATATGAAAGTAGTAGCCAGATTATAAACCCCCACAACTTCAGCCATGAGTAAAGCACATTAAAAAGACCCCTTTGACAAGTATTAGAGAAAATGCAGAAAAAGAAGAATCCTATTCTATTGTTGGTGGGAATACATGGTAAATACAAAAAATTATTTGAATGAATAACTGAAAATGGAAGTAATATATGACCAGTAATCACCATTCTTGGAAAGTTGTCTCAAGAACATGAAAATATCAATTCTAAAAACTATATGCTCTATAATGTTTATTGCATTTTTATTTATAATAGTGAAGACATGGAAACAATCTAAGTGCTCACAGACAGAGGACTGGATCTAAAGGTGTGTAATATCAAAAATGGACTAATATTTAGTCATAAGGAAATAATATTACAATTTACAATGAAGACATTTGATGGATTATGTGAAGAAAACCAAGTTAAAATGTCAAATATTGTGAATTTCCATAGAAGATGATTTGGTAAAACAAACTATATATAAACCCAAGAAACACTAATAAAGTGAGGTTTATGAGGTGAAGAGGGGAAGGAGGGAGAGAAAAGATCAAATGTATATAATAAGAGATGATAGTGGCAAAATTTTAAAATAAATAAAAAATGAATACATAATGAGCTAGTAAGATTTTTATAACTTCAATGTTTTTAGAAGTGAATAATAGAAATGCAACCTAAGTGGATAAAAAAAAATAGTTTAGTGTATGTGTTTCTAGCAGTTTAATAAAACTGGTGCATTACTTACCACACATTTTTGAAGATACATAGATATAAGAAAAAAAATTTAAAATGCATGTCAACACAAAAGAAACAAATATATTGAAATGAATTTATTGAAATTAACTAAAATATACCTTGGCTGTAGTAATGCATATACTTTTCTATTGATATATTGGATAATAAAGAATGAGCAGTGATTTAAACACTGCAGTTACGGAAGTAGCAGTGTGGTTTTTCAAAGCTTGAATACAAATGATATTTTCCCATATTAACAACCACTTTTATATGACATGAATGAATTTATTAATTTTAAAATTTCTGTTAATAATGTCTGTGGTATACATTAATAATTAAAATACAGTAAGAGGTCAAAAAACATATGGTGAAATTCTTTCCCACTCCAAATCAAGGGATCCATCTGGTCTATGTATGGACCTCTATTGACCTATGAACTCATATTATGGATTTCAGAAGGTTTTGGAAAGCAATCACTCATTAAGCACCTGGTAGATGTGAGGCACGGTCTTCCTGCTATTTGTGCAACATGCTAGAATAAGACATTGTTATAACTGACACTGACATTTGAAAAATGAAAAGACTGAGGCTCAAGATTTATTTTTATAACCTGCCTCAGGTCACATACATAATGAATGACAACTGCAGGATTAGAGTTCAAATGTCAGATTGCAAACATTCTTGTTTGTTTTTGCCACTGTGGAATATGACCTAGATAAACAGCAGAACAGTTGATTCGGGTGATGAGAAGATGAACACAGCCACAGAAAGGATGTTTTTTTAGAATAGTAAAGATACAATTGGAAGTGCAGGGCAGAGCTATACATTGGAGGATTCCCAAAAGTTTATCAAGGAAAAAAAAAAAAAAAAGCTCTGAACATAAAAAATTGAATCCCTAAAGAGGAGAAGGGTAACAATATAAAAGTAATATTGATATTTAAGGAAAAATAACCCAAAAACAATAATTTCATGGGTTGTAATAAAGGATTTTTGTGATATTTTCAGTTCAAAAGGTTTTGAAGTTGGTCTAAAATGAAACATTGTACTTAAACACCTTATCTAAAATTCATTGGATCTTTTTATTAGTCATCGGATGATGTTTTGTATTTTTCCTCAAGATCTGATCAACTGTATCACAAATGCCAGACATTTGCTATCCTTAAATATAACAAAATGCCTCTACTCACCAACACTTGTGCAACCTTCACCATCCATGTCCAGCCTCCACCCTTCATAACATGAGCATTTTACTGTGTGCTTGTGTTGCTCACACACTTGACTGCACTTTAGATGATTGCTGCAATAATCCACAATTTCACATGTCTTGTTGTCTTTCTTGAGTTGAAATCCTTCAGGGCATGAACAGACGATTCCCCTTCCAGGAACAACAGAACAGTGGTTGCTACAGCCTCCATTATTCAGAGAACATTCATCTAAAAAAGGAGTGGAATAGGTTATAATACATCATCACCTGTTTTACTTAGTTCAATAATAATCATTGAACTTAATTTTCTATGCTGGATTACAACAATATTTTAAATGAAAAAAAGACAGCTATGGATTTTATTTTCAGAAGTGTGGTAGGAATAATGAAATGAGCCATCTAATGGCCAAATATAATTTTATATCACAGGAATTGGGGATGGAAATTCCCACTTATAAATAATTTGGACATATACATTGTTTTATCATAGAGGTTAAATGAGTCCAATGGGTCTATTATTACCAGGCAAATTATGCAATGTCTTTCAGCAGATATGCAAAATCAGTTGCTAAAATTTACTAAAAAATGACTTGGAATGGACTTATTTCAACTTGACTCAGTGTTTATTAATGATTAGACATACTCATATATACCTATGGACACAATCCATCTCTTTCTACCCTTATAGTTTGATATAATGATGATGCAGAATGGATTAGTTTCCCTACTAACTATAAACACAAGTGAGATAACTGAACATTGTACCTATAAGTTAGTTACTCAAATTCAGTAAATCAATGGGGACATAGTAAATAATACACATACAAAAAATTACCTGCTATTTTTTTAAGCTGTTCTCATTTATGCATACAAGAACTGGGGTACAGGGAAGATGTACTGGGTGGAGTGAGAGAATTCACCAGAGACAGAGTGGGGATCAGAACAGGTAGATATAGTGAAATACACTGCAGAGGGGAGCAGGTGGATCAGGAGAGGTCTGCTGCACCATATGGGTCAGTTCAGTGGCCTGGGATCAAACTCATGCTGCAGTCGCTCAGTTCGCTTCATAGTGCTGTGCTTTAACACACTGAGCCACCAGGGAGGGCCCCTGACTATACCAGTAATAGCTATTATTATTTTAATATTATTATATTAAACATAATTTAGTAATAATGTAACATATAATCACTATTATATTGATATAATAATAATCATATAATAATATTATTATTACTATATAGCTATTATAATAGCTATTTTGACTGGAATAATGAGTAACTTGTATTTGGTACATGGATAGAGAATTTGAATTATAAAGATATCTTTAAATAATATTTATAATAAGTAAAATTATAATTCATGATGATTTATAATTATTAATTTATAAGTATATTTCAAAAATAGTCTGGTACTTGTAACTTATAATTTAGAAATAATTGTTTTAGCATTGTGATGTTACCAAATTCTATGTTCCATGAACAAACTATCTGTTCCATTTATCGGTAATACCCAAGAGCTAGCACAATGACTCACATAAAATAAGAATTTAAAAACATGTAATAAAATAATTAATGGGTTTGTCTAAAACCATACAATTATCACAAAATTGAGCTAGCAAGTATTCAAATGGGACACTTTTAAGCTGGTACACATATGCCTTTAAAGAAAGAACAAATAAAAGTTTTTGCAAAGATATAATGTGATATATGCTTAGGTATTTAATAATAAAGTCAAAAGAATCTTTGTCTGTCCTTACTTAAAATCCACTGTTGAGTAGTGATTAATGCTGATATAATTATGTATGTTTTGAGATGGACAATATTGTTTGACTATTATTCAAAAATTTCAAATTATGGTAGTATTTACTCATATAGTTCAAATATACCCTGCTGTGTATGGACAATGTATCCAGTTTAAAAATTGGGCTGAAATGTTAGACCTCTAAAAATATGTTATACACTTCTCAATTTCTAAAGGGCTCAAATGTTCATCACAGTATTTTCCATCATGAAAAAAGTTATTACCAAAAAAAATGAAAATGATTACATTAACTGTTTTCTCTAAGATTTCAATCTGTTTGATATTATTTTTAGGAAAAAAAAAACACCTAATTTCTTGGTTGCTCTAAATATGTTTGTTCACCCATAATCATAATCATTTCAAAACAGCAGTCACTTCAAAATATTTGTCTTATTTTAGTTCAAGTAACATTCTTTTTCAAGGGAATTATTGCAAAGAAATGTCATCATACCCAGCAGGGGGAGGGGGAAGTTATAATGCTTTTTCCTTAATTCAAATGTGAATATTTTCTAATACTTGAGTGATTCTGACACTTTGTGGAGTTAAGTCATTGATTTTAGGACATACAAAACTCACACTGAAATCTAAAATTAAATTTATAATTTGCATGACAATATTTGCAGTTAGTACCCTGTTTATCATTCTTTAACATTAAACTTATCTCTGAATTGTGCAACTTTCTTTTTAAATATTTTATTACCTGACAAGGAGTCTCTCATTATAAAGTATAGGTAGGCTCCTCTTAGCCTTCTTTTCACAAGGTTTCAACCTTGATCTACAAAAAAGCTCTGGGCTCTAAGCACCACTAATTTTCATTATTTACTTCCACCTCTACCACCTCCCCCAAAATACAAAAAGGGACTTGACCAGACACAAGCAGTGCTTCTAACAACTCAAGGCAGCATTCCTGAATTATGTCACTGACCCTTAAAATGTCTACCTGAGAAAGCTCAGCCCTGTCAGGAGATTTTACTGTTATTCCAAACAAAACCTGTTGATTGGCAGGTCACTGAGCCTCCTCTGAGCAGTTACTTTAGAAAGCTGCCATTACAAATCCTTTCTTTACACATTTGTGATATAAATCTCCTACCATCCAGAACTGTCTTCTTGAGTTCCTGGAAGCTATCTCTTTAAATGCCAACATTCAAGAAGATAATTATCTCACTTAGGCTCCAAATTACCAACCTCCATTAAGACACTTTAGAATTTATCTCTTAGCACATTCCAGTCTTCAAAATTATTTCAGTTTTTGTTTCTTGTTTATATATATATATATATATATATATATATATATATATTTTTTTTTTTTTCCCCAGTAAAGATGGTTTCAGTTTATATTGGACAAGTTTCCTTATTACAAATAGTTACTACTGAGTAAAATCTGTCAACTGCATTATTACATGATTCATGTCTCTTGTCATTTATTTCACAAATTATTTCTCTTGAAATCATTTAAAAATATCCTGAAAAAATTAGTATATTTATTATGTTTAGATGATTCACTTTCTTTTGTTCCTCCTAACATTGCCATTTTTTTAAAATAAATTTAAAGATCAGACTTATTTGGAGGGGGAAAAAATCCATAACTCAATGACTGAACTTTATTATGTCTTCTAAGTGTTATCCACAGATGATAAATCATTGTCATGAAGGATATATCTGCATAAATTTAGAAGTATGAAGAAGGCAATCACTATTTTTTCAGTATCTATATAGCAAATGGTTTGTAAAAATGCTTTGTACCTCAGATGATTTTATGAACTATCCTAGCTATGAGCGAACTCATGCCAATTATTTAATGTGAATTCACATTTTATATCCACTGATGTAATACATGATAAAATACTACTTAGCAATTACAAAATATAAACTCATGGGCCCTCCCTGGTGGCGCAGC